AGGAAAATTATTTCGCTGCGAGCTGCCGTTGTCAGAAAAGCGGCCGGAATCCTGGAAACGGCTCGGATCCGGGAAGCGATTGTCTGCGGCGTCCATGAACTAGGTCCTAAACGCTCGGATCCCAGTAACCCGGACTCGTTGTCCTTGCACTCGGTGACCCAGTTTCAGGATCGGGAGATTCCCGCCCGGCCCCAGGTATATACCGGGATATACGTGTCAAGGTCCCTCCTGTCCCGCCCTCCGTCCCGTCCCGCAACCCCTTCGCTCATCTCGATTCGACGGCGTTAGAAACGGTCTCGCGGCGATAGAACAAAATCCTCCGCTATTTCGAGACGTCGAGGAAAGAAATTCTCTCTCTCTCTCTCTCTCTCCAGCTGATCCCTCTGCCATCACCTCGGGACTCCCTTCCCCGATCGCCTCCCCCTGGACCCTTCCCCCGGCTCCGTGGACGTTCAGCTGTCCGACCACGTCTGAGTGACGTTGACGTTCCCGGATTGTACACAATGCGACCCGAAATAGGCAGCCGGGCTGGAGAACTGCGCTTTTGTGCGGAGGAGCTCGCTCAGATTGCGGAATTTCGGGGGCGCTGAATTAATTTGGAATGCTGCTGTCGATTCGTGACACGCCTCCCTTCGCGCCGAATGTTTGACATCGCAATCGTGTGGCAAAATAGTCCGGCATCTTGTTGCCAGGCAGATGATCAAGCTATCCGAAATTCTTTGGAGAAATCGTGTTTCCCGCGATAACGATCGACTTTCTCGTTCTTCGATATCTTTGTCGTTTGTTTTATCTTCAAGCTTTCTACTTTTTTATTCGTCGTTGTAGCGATCTTTAGGATGATTATTATAATTATAATTAATAATAATTATGACTGTAATTATAATTATCATTGATTATTTTTATTTGGAGACTGATCCTTCTCAGTCTCATAATTATAATTAATAATAATTATAACTATAATTATAATTATCATTGATTATTTTTATTTGGGGACTGATCCTTCTCTGTTTCATAATTATAATTCATAATAATTATGACTGTAATTATAATTATCATTGATCATTTTTATTTGGAGATTGATCCTTCTCAGTCTCATAATTATAATTAATAATAGTTATAACTATAATTATAATTATCATTGATGATTTTTATTTGGGGACTGATCCTTCTCTGTTTCATAATTATAATTCATAATAATTATGACTGTAATTATAATTATCATTGATCATTTTTATTTGGAGATTGATCCTTCTCAGTCTCATAATTATAATTAATAATAATTATAACTATAATTATAATTATCATAATAGCTACCATAAAATTCTTTACGAGGTGTATTTTCTTGGATTTGTCTAAGCTCCATTATTCGCAGCAAGAAGATTCCTCTTCTGCATTTCCCAGCGCGTTAAAGTGCACCGAAACATTCGATGCAAATAGCAATCGAGCATTTGTCGAATTATAAATACAATAAAAATTAGAAATTTATAAACGCTAGTGAAGTAGAACGATCAGCTCGGCTTTCGACGAAATCGTCATCGCATTTCGCGAATTGTCACAGAAATCCGTACGGCTCGCAACGTAATTGGATAAATACTTTCGGTTAAAAAATGTATTCCGTTACACAGAAACGGAATGCGTAGGATAATTGGACTGTTGATCGTTAATTGGACTGTTCACTTTCAACTCGAAGAGCAACGACGACGAAACAAGCATCGAACAACGGAGCAACAAGTGCACGCCGCTTATTATGTTCCGTGCGGCCGTTAAAAAAAATCTGTCGCACGCCGCCGCACGGAATATAAATCGCGGAAAATCCATCCGGAAACTTCGGCACGCCGCCGTAAGCTTAATCCGGCCGTGGCCGCGCCGATGAAGTATGAATTACGCGGCTGTTCCGCGATTAAAGCGAGCGAAAGATTCGTTTCCCGCGCGGCTAATATCGCGTCGCGGAGACAGCGTTCGAGGTTCGCTCGAATAAATAAAGGTGCGACGATGTGAAAGTTGACTGGGACCGTTCAAGGAGGAACGGCTCCGAGAGATTTTCGTGAACGCCCGCCTCGTTTGCCGAACGTCGGAACAACGGACGCGAATTTTTCATTGCGACGGAACTCGGCGGCGAGGGGGCGGGTTCTAACGAGGTAATAACGGGGAAGATACGATTACTTTCGAGCGAGATTCGAGGATGCGAATCGGTTGAAAAATCACTTTTGGGATTCGAAGAGACGCCGGGAATCCTCTTAGCGACGAGTTTCCCATCGATTTTCCTTCGGGAGCTCGGGGACCGGAGTTTTATCCGGAGAGATCGTTAGGGAATAAAACGGGGTGAGATTATAAGGCAATTTTCGGGATTTTTCGAAAGAAAAATATTCAGAAGGATTAAAGTTCGCTGTTTTGGACGAGTATACTCGTCGTGATACAAAATCTTGTCGTTTCTTCGTGACGAGTATACTCGTCGTGACGCAAAATTTTGTCGTTTCTTCGCGTCGAATATACTCGTTATAACGCAACATGTTGCCTTTACTTCGTGACGAGTATACTCGTCGTAACGCAACATGTTACCCGTAACATAAATCCCGTCTTGCACACGTTTATTTCTAACAAATAAATAATTAATCGCATATAAATGAAAATATTGAATATATCTTACTCGGTAAATATAAAGTTAAATAAATTTGATAATAGACCGAATGCATAATATTTGGCCACCTCACAGTAACTGGCTCCGCTACCCCATTCCAAACTTTGCACACTCATTGCGTACGGTTTGAAGAATATACCAAAAATTTATCTAAGCGAATATAATGATTTTCTTCAAAGTTATAGCAACAGTAATGAGAATATTTGAGAAAAGATGAAATTTGATTTCCCGATCTGCGCGAGCGATATCGCATAATCCAGGAGGCATTTTCGGAAATGATCGAAGCAGAATGACCATTTGATTCGCCGGCGAACGAGCTTAAAAGCGAGCACAGGATTTTGATCTGCTTCGACTCTCGCTTCTTGTATAATTGCGTTAATCCTCTTACGATCGGCCCGCAAGAAGGTTTATTCCTTCGCGTGGGCGTCTGAGACCGAGGGCTTTCGAGAACGACTGACAGAGCTAACCAATTATCCCTAAGGCAGCCGTGATTAGTGTACTTTCGAGACGCGGCCGACAAAGCGACGTTAACTTTCGCAAATAAGAGCATCGCTGTTACTGGCAACAATAAAACCTTGGATCGAGGAGAGCCCGAGAGAAAAGACGCGGTGGAAGTTAATCGGGGATTAATCCGGCTTGATGAGAAGTGCTAACACGGTGTTGGAGAACGAGATATTCCCTCGCGGAATTAACAATGGGTGCAGCACACCTGGATTAGAACGGAGCCGACCTAATCCGGTCTGTAAATCACAAGAATCCACGGGTTCTACGGGATTCACGGTCCGATCTTCTCAGCACTTTGTAGAGCAAAAAAATTGTTTTCAGTGATCTTCGTGGATCGAGGACGATTTTTCACACGATTTATGCGATTTATTACATACGATTTTGTTCACGTTCGTTGCTAGTCCGTAAATCAGTCGCTTATTATATTTAATTCTTAAATGCTGTATATTTTTACGATTTTATCGTGGCCATGGATCTATGAAAATGTTTATATATTAATCTTTTTTATAAAGAGTATTTGTTAGCACAGCAATGTAATTTCTGTTTTTCGTCTATTATTAAGCCTCTGAAGGATTACTTTTACATTTAACCGGTGCACGCCGACGATTATCGCGATTTCGTGGCAGCCGTAGATCCACCTAAATCGATCAATTGTCTCTTATAAAGGCGGCTTGTTAACGCCGCAACGTAACCACTGTTTTCATCAATTAGCCCCGAAGAATTCGCACGAAGATCCTCGGTCTAATCGTAACAGTTACCTCCGATGCCAACGAAAATACCAACAAGAAAATCTTCGTACAAGATCTCGATGCCAGTATCAACAATCTAAGCTAGACATCGATTAAAAAAATCCTCGCCGACCGAGAACCATTAGAAATCTCATTTTACATCGGCTTAAATGATCCTTCGGGCAGGTTGTGCCAGACGTCCGCTCGATAACAATGTAATTTAGGAAAGCGTAGGTGCAGCTTTGATACAGAGACCACGAATGCGTTACGGTATTTAGAACAACATTGAAAAAGGATCGTTTGGAGACCAAGAACCATTATTACGGGTGCTTCGTCCAGTGGGAGAAACGGCGCGCAAATTGAACCCGTGCCAAAGATTAATAAGTAGACTGCGGATGTTTATGCGCCGATACCGAACTCGAAAATCATAACAAAGTATAAGCACAATTACGTTACATTTCGCTTGTGCTCTGAGTCTTTTATCGGCGTACGTGCTAATTAACTTCTATTAGGATTATCACATTTTAACCGACTTAGTATCGACCGAAAGAGTTGAATGAATTCGAGAGAAATGTTCGGTAAAATTCCGGAAAGAAATTACAACAATTCTGTGAAACCTGTTAATTGGAAAATTGAGAAAGGAAGAGGAAAGAAGAAATCAAATTCTTGATTAAGTAAAAATATTAAGCAAACAACGTTTTCTCAAGCGCCGGAAAGAAATTTTCAAAATTCCGGAAAGGAATTATAACAATTCCGGGAAGAAATTATAGCAATTCTATAAAACCTGTTAATTACAAAATTGAGAAATAAAGAGGAAACAAGAAATCAAATTCTTGATTATTAAAAATATTGAGCAAACAACGTTTTCTCAAGCGCAGTCAACAACGATGCGTCGTTGTTGCACCGAAAGGATTAGATTCTCTATCAGTTAAAGATGTTGTAAACAGAATCGGTTTAATTTAGATCAAATAAGGCACCGAACACCCACTCGATTCACCCCGATCTATTCTCATATGGATTTATCGTAAGGCAAAGATTCAGCCTAGCCTTGCAACCAAGGAGCCATTCGGATAATCGAGATTCCCTATCCACGATTTTAAGATTAGGTAACATAAAAAATAGGTCCTCACCTAGGCCAGGTGTAGACGCCGGAGACCTCGAAGCCGAAGTGCCAGCTGCCGGAGTAGGCTCCCTGGCCCTTGGGTCCGGTGCAGACCCCGTGCCTGTGGGCCTTGCCGTCCTCCCAACCGCCGCAGAAGGTGCCGCCATCGTCGAAATCGAATCTGCCGCCGTTAACCTGGGCGCGATTTGACGCCGCGGTGGCGGTACCTGTCGCTCCAGGTTGGGCCGTGCCTATGCCACCTGTTTGCGGCAATTGGGCACCACCTGCCACCCCGTTCGGTGCCCCGGACTGTTGGCCAGACTGTGGCTGTTGCTGCATCTCTCTGCACCGGTGCTCCTCCGCCGCCGCCTCCGCCTCCCCCGCCGCCGCCTCTGCTCCCCGCCGCCCACGTCTTCCTCGTCCTCCTCTTCTTCCACCTCTTCCTCGTCTTCGTTATCGTCGTTTTCGTCGTGGTCGCGGTGGTCGTGTCGGCCCGTTAGCAAAAATCGCGCGCGCGTCCCCCTGGACGTTGCTCCATCCTTCCTGTCCGCCTCCACGTTTCCCGTCTCACGCGTTCCAACGGACCTCTGCAACGGCCACCCTTCTCTTCAGCCGCGAGCCTCTCCGTCTCCCCCGCCGGAGATCACCGAGGAACTTTCCACAAAACTCGATCGAAGCACGCGACTTCGTTGCTCGCGTATCTCGGGAGGAGCCCGGGCGTCGATCGGGATCCAGGAGCCGCGGACCTCGCGGGACGCGACGCGACTCGACGCGATGCGACGCGATGGCCGGACACGCACACCAGGTGTCAAGGACACCCGGCGGTTCGTTTTTCTGGTGGCCGCGATTACCGAGCTATAAATACGGGCCGCAGAGGCCAGAGAACCGAAGCTAGATGAAAATTTTCTAGGATTCGACACGGGTTAATTTTAGTTCCCGCCGCTGCGCCGCGAGCAGCGAGCAGCGAGCAGCGAGCAAAGACGGCGAGCAGAGGTGGCGGCGAGCGACGATCGCGAGGCCCGAGGCTCTCGATCCCGGTCGTTGGGTCGGTGCTTCGATCGCGCACACCAGGCTCCCCTGCGAATTGGACCGCGCGCCGCCGCGGCCTTGAAACACGCTTTCGAACACGCCGGGGATCGATAACGCCGCGGCCCGCAACGATCTCTCCCTGGGAACACCTTGGTCTTCGACACGCTCTCGGCTCCCTCTCTCTCTCTTTCTCTCTCTCTCTGTGTCTCTCTGTCTCTCTACCTCTCTTCTCTCCTCCCTCTATACCTCGCTGTGACTCCTTCTTCGACACCTAGAGTGCGAGAGAAAGAGAAAGAGAGAGAGAGAGAGAACGTACACCCCCCGCAGGCCACGCACACACACTCTCACCCACGCGCGGCTTCGATTCGATGCGATTCGCGATCGGCGGAAGAGGAGCCCGCGGGTTTCGCGCCACCTCGGGTTACGTACCCGCGAACGAACCAACACCAGCACACTGCCCGAGAACACGCGGCCGACCCTTCAGTCAGCGTACCCGCCTCCAGACACCCGCCTCGACACCAGAAGAGGATGCGGCCGCTTCCCCGTCGTCGTCGAACTTGTCGAAACTCGACGGCCGAGCAGCCGCGGTTTCGCCGTCCGTCTGACGCCGTTACGCAACGCTTCTATAAGCATCCGTGATCCGCTCGGAATGTGGCCCTCTCTCTCTATCTCTGTCTCTCTTTCTCTCTCTCTCTCGCTCTCTCTATCTCGTTCTTTCTCGCTCTCTCTCTCTCGCTCTCTCTTTCTACCGCCGTCACTCCCGGCCTCCGTTCCTCGGCCGGTGTCTCTCGCTCTAGCGACCCGCTAGGTCGTCTCTCCCTTTTCCTTTCTTTCCGACTCGCGATCGCGCACACGTACGGAGATCGAAGGCGCGAAAGTCAGCTACCTGGGGTAGCTAGCTCGGCGTCCGCCTAGCAGCCCGAGGAGGAGGACAGCATTCTTACGAGCGTGCAGATCCTCCTACGTGTGCGGGAACGGTCACCAGTGAATCAGCCGCCGCCGCGCCGCCTCTTCCTACATGCGGGCTCTCGTGTCAGGCTTAAAATATTCACTAGACTTCGCGGATCAGCTTCACGGGCGGCCGGTCGCACGCTCAGCCGGGAATGTGGAACGATCTTCGGCCCGCTGTGATCTAGGATCCTCGGGCCCGTGCGCGATCGCCGACCGGGAAGCAGCCGAGCGGAAGTAGCGCCGGGAATATCGAGGATCGACGCGGATCCGGCGGACACACGGCAGCAGCAGCAGCAGCCGATCAGGAAACGCGGCGGCCAGGATCCAGCAACGTCATTGCCGTTGTCTCGGTCGTCGTCGTCGTCATGATCGTCACCCGCGACCGCGTTCGTCACTGCGCTAACAGTCGGGACAGAACACGCTCCGCGCGCGCACACCTCAGGCTCCGCACCAATACGCCCGTGTCCGCTCTAGCGACGCTAGAGCGGTGCTCGCTCGCAAACCGCTCGAGCTCTAGCCTCGAGCTTCGGCTAGCTGGCTAGGAGCTTCTATTTTTACCATGGGGTGGCGAATTGTTCCCCACGCCGCGGCGGCCCACGAGGCGGCAGCTCGAGCGGACAAGCGGAGGTTCGCCAATGCGACCGGGTTCAAACCATTTATAAATAGTTGATGTTCTCGCGCCGCGCGGAAAATCGGCGACCATCGCCACGGACCCGACCGACGAGACGCGGCTCGAGTCGGCCCGCTCGGCGAGACGACTCTCGGGGAGAAAGTAGGTTGAGGTTTGAGGTTGTTTGGGGACGATTGAGATCGTCTGGTGATGTTATGATGGTACGATGGCGGTGATGATGATGCTGCTTAGGTTTGGGACGATGATGCGGGGTTGGTCGAGGTTTGTTTGATCGGTTTGAGAAAGCACTTTTTTAAATAGGATATACGTTTTTGTTTAGTACGGTAATGTCTCTGTAATTGACGCTCAGATTGCCCGCATAAATGGACAATTTGGGAAGAGGAGATACGATTAGTCGAGACTCGAGACTCATTTTTACAGCTGCCGATTGCCAACGATTATAAAAACGAGCTAGAAGGTTCGAATTATCGTATCTCCTCTTCCCAAATTGTCTATCTTTGTGCACAATCTGAGCGTCAATGAGGGAGACATTACTGTATTGTTAAGGTTGAGTGAGAGGCTTAGGTGAGATTGTATGTTTAGGGTGCCTTCGGTCGGCGACAGTGGCAAAGTGACGTATACAGTTATGATCGACGTTTGTTACAAACGGTTTGAGTAAGAATTTTGATGGGCATTGTCGTATCTGGAAATTTTTAAATGTTGTTAAGGATTACATTTATGTGATATTCTGTGCTGAAAGTGATTTCAGTCATTAATCATGGGAAAGTGACTAGTCCAGTGGCGATCGATGTTTGTACAAACGGTTTAAGCGAGAGTTTCGGTTCGCCGTGGATATGTTTAAAAGTTGTTAAAAATTCCTGCTGATTATAATATTTATACTAATGGACATTGTCGTATTTGGGAATTTTAGAATATTGTTAAGGGTTATATTTATATGATATTCTGTGCTGAATGTGATTTCAGTCATTAATCATGGGAAAGTGACAGGTCCAATGGCGATCGATGTTTGTACAAACGGTTTAAGCGAGAGTTTCGGTTCACCGTGGATATGTTTAAAGATTCTTAAAAATTCCTGCTGATTATAATATTTATACCGATGTTTGTTCAAGAAAAACTTATAGACGCAATGACGACGCGCGTTTGCACAAACAAGAGTTACATACATTTTCGATGAATCTAGAGATGCATTTCATTTCGATGCACTTTTATCGAAGACCATGTTTGTCCAAGATTATACATGTCTGCTGAGAATAATTGCTGCAGTTTGTACGACTTTGCGCCCTATATGTATCACGTTTGCTGAAGATAGAATCAGTAGAAACAGACGTATCGAACGATAATGATCAGACGAGGAGTCTTCGCAGAGTTTCACTGCTTTGAGCATCGGACCGACGAAAGCAGAATTTTGTAACTGCAGTTTTGGAAGAATTCCTATTCTCTTGATCAGTATACAGAGACACGTGATGCGTAGACTGCGGATCTTTGTGCAAAATAAAAATCGTCTGCGCCTATTACAAGTCACTCGAGAGTCATTTTGGATTTTCTTTCTTTCTTTAATCATTTTATTTTAAACAGAAATAATATATTGACGTTTTTCTATTCTTTCAAACTTGCTGTTTCGAATCGCAGCTATACATTTTTGACATGAATGCACGACAATCCGCAGTCCAGCGATGAGATACGATGTAGGAACAATTTCGTGTGAACGTCCGCAATGTTTATTCATGAGGAGCATAATGGAGAGGACATGATTTATTTATGCGAATGCGATGCAGGGATTAATTTTTTCACAGAATTCGCGGAATTAATTTGGAGCATTTGTAAACGTATGTGAAATGGATTGTTATTGGGGATATGATTGATGAAGCAGATTGATGGATATTGACGTGCACGACTGCTTTAGTATGCATATGGACCGTGCAGGTGTGGTCTGATTAACCAGGTGCCTCGTGGAACTGATGTCTAATCGGACATGATGCACCAACTCATGTATTTGTTTATGGGATATTGATATATTTGCCCGATGTACGCCACAGTTCCATATGGAATTGCTGGTTTAATTGAGGAGTTAGAACGACGCTTTAGGGTTTCGAAGGAAGGTAGAAGAACGTATTAATTTTTTGTACACTTCTGAAGTCATCAGATCGAAGCGAGATCACTCAAATAATACATAAATCCGCGAAAATGAAAGGGAGATCAATTTTCCCTGGCATTCTTGTTCTTCGTTTCACGGTATACTTTTAAATATCCCAGAAAATCAGTCGGAAAACTTATCAATTCCTAAAAATAGAAGGATCCATCGATCCTTCGCGGGATCCGACGAAACTGGATACACTACCTTCTCTTAAATATTCACGAAAACCTGTCAGAAACGGAAGAACATCAGAAATAGAGGGCAGACCCGGTCCTCCAATTAATTCCGTTGACCTTTCAATAACGAAGAAAATCTGTCACAAAGCGTATTAATTCACCGAGAAATAAAAAGAAAGCTCACCGTCTCGAACGTAACTGGACGACTTCTCCGTTTTCTACTGCTTAACCCCTTGCCTTGCAATGCCTTTCACGGCAACGCCGATTCAAACTTCTCGTTAATAATCTTCTGCGAGACAAAGAAAATTAATGTTCGCTGGGTGCCTAAATTCGCTCTAGCGTGACGAATGACGTCACAATATCACAATTTTTGGTTTCAAAGTTGTTGAAATTACGTGGAAAATTGCGACAATCTGTTAGTACGAATACCATTCATTTTTTTTAAATCGGAATTCTGCCCTCTCGCGAGCAATGTCTAAGCACTCGAGAAAACAAATTTTCTTCCTCTGAGAAATTATTGCGATCGAAGGAGTGCTGATCAGTTCAACAGCGAAAAAAAATGCTGTTTCTAAATGCAAGGTTCTAGATTAATAATCTTTTCGTCGTTCTAATATAACACACGTTAATTACTCTCGATAGATCCAGCGTTGACAGAGAATCAAAGCGATTTAATCAACGAAACTGAAATTAGAAAGTAAAAATTTCCCAAACACATAGTGGATGCTGTTCGAACCGTTTCGCACAGTAAAAATCCTAGTGAAATTTACATTGTCCGAGTATAATATTACCACAGAAACGAAGCTCGAAAACCGGCGAAGCCTAGCGCCGACCATATAAGCGTCGCGGCACTTATCTGAAGAATTGAACGGGTTAGCGAAACCCGGCGGAGTCGGACGCGCCCTGAAAAATATAGGAAGAGTTTATCCGACAGTGGAGTTCGGGGCAGCGAGTGCTCGAAACTTCGCTTCAATATTGAAGAAGACCGGTCGCGGCCGGAAAACCGTATCGATTCGCGAAAATGGGAGGCAAGATCGATCGGCGTAGCGATTGCGAGAAGAGAATGGAAAAGCGGGAGAATCTGTCGGTGCATGCCCGTTGATATTCTATTGAAACGTCGTCGCGAGGGCCGCGCGAGCGAGTAGGCGAGCAAAAGCGTGTTCGATCGAGTCGCGGGGAAAACACAAGCGAAACGCGCTGCACCGTCTATAGACGGTGCACGTTGGTGGCTGCATTTTTGATGCTGCACATGCGGGCCGCGACGATGTCGGTCAGTTACATTTCTCTCTCTCTCTCTTTCTCTCTTTCTCTCTCAGCCTCTCTTTCTCTCTCTCGACCGTCGAGGAACTAGGCATCCTTCGGCTCGTCGGAGAGCACACATTCGACCAATGCTCGGTGTCAACGATCTAACGGGAACAAATATCTACGTGTACATAATGTTTGTACATATGCAGACGTTTTCAACACGTACCGCAGAGCCGGCGGAGGAGGCGGATTGAATCGCGTTCCCGGCACGAGTAGCCGCCGGTCATCTGCGCGCGTCTTCTCTTTTTTATATAACAACAATCAATTAATCGATACCGTTGCACGCAAGAACGAGAAATAATCACGCGTACAACGGCGATGCGCCGATCCGGCGCGGCCAGGAGGAAAAGAAAGAGGCTATACAAAGCGCCGGTACACCCTCATTATTAAAATAACTCCTATGAGGATGTTCGGTCTTGAAACCCACTCGGTTTCGAGTGCCAGGTCTGGGTTAGCCACGCGGCGTTCACGAGACTATTCGAAACTCGGGGATCCAGTTTCTTCTCTTCGATTCGATTGTCCGAGGCTGGCCGAATCGAATTTTTTTCATCCGCCGAAATCGGCTGGGAATATTCGAACGGTATTAACGCCCCACAGGAAATTCTTCCGTTTCTATCTCTGTGGCGATGTCGTTAATTTGTCTCATGCATTCGTTTAACAACCTACCAAGAATTAAAAGTAACCACAGAAAGCAGTTCGAGAGAACGACGGAATTAAATTTCATTAAAACGTGCGCTCGAATGATGCAATTTGTTCAATCGTTTCGAATGAAACGCGCGTTTGTTTGACACGAATTTGCCGGTCGTTAAAAGTAATTGAAGTATGTTTAATTTTATAAGAACAACAAGACTGAATATTATTTTAATTTTGGATTTAATTTATCTTAATTTCAGAACAACGAACAAGGAATGGAAATCGTTTTTGCGTCGATTTACAGAAGCTTCGAATAAAACAAAATGGGTTCAAGTGTTATGGGTCGGTGTTCGAAGTAAATTGGTCCAGATTTTTTTTACGTTCGCGTTCTCGTGATTTCTGTGCTGTTCAATTGTTTAGCGGGGAACTTTCGGCAACGTTCTTCCGCGCGAAGCCCGGTATTCCGAATAATTCGATGATGAAAGATACTAGACGCGCGAGTGTGCTTCGGAGTGATTTAGCTCGGACGTCTGCACATCAGTGGCTAATTCTACTTGCGTTAGTTAAAAATATTGTCGCGTTTAACCGACTGTTAATAGACACGGGATTACGGAGCTTGGGGTACAATACCGCTTCGGCAGCGAT